TGTATGTATATATATATATATATATATATGTATGTATATGCAACGACACATTTCTAAACTCACAACCTACTTCCACAACTTAACTTCTCCAATAAAAGTACTCTCGTACATTCCTTTATTTTCATCTTCAGCCTCACCAAGATTTGCTTTAAGAAAAATCAATGGCCATTTACAAAATGCTAAGACGGTCTTTGTCGTCTGAAAAGAGGTCAGCTGAAGTTCCAAAGGGGCATTTTGCTGTGTATGTTGGTGAAAGTGAAAAGAAGCGTTTTGTTATTCCATTATTGTATTTGAACAATCCTTCTTTTAAAGAATTGTTGTGTCAAGCTGAAGAAGAATATGGATTCCATCATCGGATGGGTGGACTCACAATTCCGTGCAGTGAGGAGTTATTCATCGACCTCACCTCTCACTTGAGCACAACATGATAAATATATATAGGTGTTAGAGATAGAATTTTATTGGCCGATACTTTGTCGGGTACGAATTGTACTTCTGAACAATTTAATGGTATTACCTATAAAAGATTTTTTGTATACTCTGAACCATTTTGATATATGAATGACTTACCTATTTAGAAGTTCTTATAAAAAGCTCTTTATCGTAACAAATGCATACGGTTATCATTTACTTTGCCGCTTTTTTCGCACTTCTTTTTCTCCAAAATTCTCTCATTTATTTATTTATATATGTTTTTTTGGTGTTTGTTACTACCAGAAAAGTATGTTCTAAACGGCTGTTCTGCTTTCTAATGTTACAAAGTATGACAAAGGTTGTAACTAAACTTTTGGATTACAATAAGATTTCCTAAATATCATGGTGAGCACATAGCGAACTATTCTTTCGCCTTTTACTAAAGAATACCATGTGCTCGCCGCAATACAAGCAGCATACTCCTCTTTTTGGAGGGTTATTTTTCTTTTGGAATTGCCCCCACCAATTCAAGTTCAGTTTTACTATTTTGTTGAATGTGCTATACAAGTATGTTTGTAGCCTCTCAAAGAATATATGGAACTTAGTATATGTATGGTATCGAAAATTTGATTTATGATATATTATATTTGACAAGATTAATATATTATCACATTAAGAGAGATCACAGGAAATTGATTTTAATTGTTGAGTTCATAAAGAATTAGTATTATCAAATTTAACCAAACAATGCTTCGGCATCTTAAAAATTGCTTAAATGCTGTTGTATATATATAATTATATACCGTAATTTTGTGCTTCTATACATTTCTTTTCATGAAAACAAGAAGATTGAATTCCTTCTCGAAAGAAAAACTAATTTTACAAAATTGTGATCCCCCTAAACACGTATACATCCATATGTATATCATGTTCTGCTCAAATGAGAGGTTAGATCAACAAATAGATCTTCACTGCAAGGAATGGTTAGTCCACCCATTGGATGATGGAATCCGAATTCTTCTTCAGCTCGGCACAACAAATCTTGAAACGAAGGATGGTTCAAATAAGATAATGGAATTACGAAACGCTTCTTTTCACTCTCCCCAACATACACTGCCAAATGACCCTTTGGAACTTCAGCTGACTTTCTTTCGTTGGATAACGATCTTCTCAAAATTTGGCGGATTGCCATCTTTTTTTGAACTGAATCTTGCTTATTGAAAAGTATTTGAAACAAGTGAAACCTGAGAAAGCTAGAGTATTTTGAAGACTTGTTGCTGTTATTATTCAAGTATTAATGAAATGGTGTTGTATATATATAGGCTATAAAGAAATGGTGTATTGTTGAGAAATATGGATAACTATGGTTCTCTATGGAACTCGAAGAAACATACACATATGAAATCACATGGATTTGTCTTTCAAAATAATAATGATTACAAGGAAACAGCTAAAGTTGTATGATCGAAAATAATACTTGATCGAAAATGTTGCGTTCCACCAACAACGTGGCCCTTAAACGACCCTACAGCATATGATAACAAACAGCTAAAGTTTCCTCTTGCAATTAATATAGAAAATAGAAAAGTCTCTCATTATCTGTTTATTATGACATGTACTCGTTTCTCGCCCATATTATCTTTTATTTGTTACGTAACTTAGTTTGATATGTGATTACAATTATTCGAGGACGAGTAGGGACATCAAAATTAGTAGGATACAATTTTTTTCGATCACACAAATTATTGTTGCCCAAAAATATTAATGATGATTCAAAGACAAAACCATGTGACTCCATTTGCCTATGTTTACAACTCTCACATCTAGATTTTTGAAGAATACAGCAACTCTTGTTTGCCTATATATAAAACACCATTTTTTCATTTACAAATAACAACTTCTTAATTAAAATATTATTGTTTTCTCATTTTTCACAATACTTCAAAGAAACTAATTGATTTGAGGTAAACAAGATTCAGTTTATACAGAAATGGCCATCCGTCAAATGCTAAGACGATCTTTATCCAACGAAAGAAGATCAACTGAAGTTCCAAAAGGGCAATTGGCCGTTTATGTTGGGGAGAGTGATCAAAAGAAGCGTTTCGTAATCCCATTATCATATTTGAATCATCTTTCGTTTCAAGAATTGCTATGCCAATCCGAAGAAGAATTCAGATTCCATCATCCGATGGGTGGCCTCACAATCCCTTGCAGTGAGGAGTTATTCATTGAAATTACCTCTTACTTGAGCAGATAGTGCTTGATATATATATACATATACTATGTCTTAGAGCAATAGAATTTTTGTTAGCTAGTCCGTGGACGATTTTATTTTAATTTGTCGGATACAAAATGTATTCCTGCACAAATTATCTTTAATATACTCCAAGCCATTTTGATATGTGAATGTCTTTTCTGCACTCAACTCAAACTTTTCTGATTTTCTTTTGAAGGGTTGATTTTCTTCTGCATATGGTATTAAAGGGTTGATTTTGCTTTGGAAATGGTCCCAACAATTGATGAGGTTATAATTTATGATTATGTCTATTGCAAATCTGAACCGGAGGGATTAAGAAAAGGGCGTTTTACAAATAAGTCCATCAATGAGTACTTATTCATAAAGAGATTCATATAATAAACACTTTAAAAAAAAATCCATACATGGTCTAGAGATTTGTAAAAGACTAAAATAGTCCATCGTACTTTAATATGCTCCAATTTCATAATTTAATTTAATATAACTTCAATTTGACTCCAAATTTACAAATTATTTAATTTCGACTCAAAACACATTTTTAAGGACAATTTCGTCTGTCACCGCCGGTGACCGGCGGTCTACCGCAATTGACCGCCGGTCTTCGGCGTTGACTTTTTTTTTTTTTTCTTCCTGATTTTTCAGTTACCGGTTTCTGCCGTTGACTTTTTCGATTTCTATTTTATTTTTTCTTTAACATATTCTTTCCTCCGTTTAAACAGCAATATTGCTTTGAATGACAGTAATATTAACTATATTACTGTTAAACACAGTAAAATTAACTATACTACAGTTTAACACATTAATATTGCTATATTAATCTCTAGCACAGTAATATTAACATAACAAAACTCATTATTATTGTGTAATAGAGTAATATTAATATGTTGACCGTTCAACAAATGTAAACATAAAAAAAAACCAAAAAAATTAATATTACTATAAGTGACAGTAATATTACTGTCAAACACAGTAAAATTATTGTATTTACAGTAATATTACAGTAATAGACAGTAATATTATTACGTTACTCCGCGAATAATTCAAACAAAACAAAAAAACCCAAAATAATAATAATATTGATGTGGTTTACAGTAATATTATTGTGTTTACAGTTATTTTACTGCCAATGACAGTAATATAATTACGTTGACTTGCCAACAAATCAATCAAAATTAAAAAATATAATAATAATATTGTCATTGACTCTAATTGTACTGTCAACAACAGTACAATTACATAAATGTATTGTCAACGGCAGTACAATTACGTTAATGTACTGTCAGTGACAGTATAATTACGTTAATTTACTATCAGTGACAGTATAATTACCATTAATGACAGCACAATTACGGTCAACGTTCAGCGGCGGCGTTAAAAAAAAAACACTTAAAAAAGTTAACGCCGAAATCCGGCGGTGGAAAAAACAGACCAGAAAAGAAAAGAAAAAAAAAATCGGAAAGTCAACACCGGAGACCGGCGGCAAAAAAAATAATTTTTGAAAAAAAAAAGTTTCTGAAAGAAAAATTCAAAATTGGATTTTTGTGGTCAAAATTGATTAAATTGGGGTTACAATTAGGGGTGAGTTCGGGACGGGATTTCGGGAATTCGGGATTTTCGGGATCGGGATTTCGGGATTCGGGATAGAAATTTTAAATCCCAATCCCGTCCCATAATATTAAATCCCGGTAATATCGGTATCCCTAAATATTTCGGGAATTCGGGATTGGGATCGGGAATCCCATATTTTGCCTAAAAACTAAGAAATATTGTTTTTTTTTTTTCCATTAGTATTATTTTATACATTAAACCAACTTGAATATATTATATGCATACTATTATTATTGCACTATTTATTTTTACCACAAAACTTGGAACAAATGAAATTTGAAAAATTTAAAAATAAGTTGAAACGATATATTATATTGTTATTTCTCATCTCCCTATATATATATATATATATATATATATATATATATATATATATATATATATATATATGTGTGTGTGTGTGTGTGTGTGTGTGTGTGTGTGTTTATTAGTTTTTTTTTTCTTTTTTCCTAATTCGGGATTAAAATATCCCGATCGGGATTGAACCAATTCCCGAATCCCGATCCCGTATTTGTTCCTAATCCCGATCCCGAATCCCGTAATCCCGAATTCCCGAAGTTTTAATCCCAAATAGTAAAATTCTAATCGGGACGGGACGGGATCCCGAATCCCGATCCCAAAGTCCCAGCCCTAGTTACAATTAAGAATTTGGTGTATAGGGTTGGGGGTAATTTTGTCATATACATGATTTTTTCCTTTATTTATAATAAATATTAATGGGATGGGCTTATTGGCTAAGCTTATTTTAAACAACTGAAAAACTCTTACGTCTGATAAGATGTTTTAAGAGCTGATAAGTTGTTACGTCTTATTTTTTAGAGTGTTTGGATAATGAGGTTATTTCTTATTTTTACTCATTATAAGATCTTAAATAAAAATGTGGGGCAGATGTAATTTTTTAAAAAGATCTTATTTGCTCTCCAACAGCTTATTTAAAAAAAAAAAAAATAAGATCTTTTTTGAAAAAAATTACCAAACACTTTGGAAGAGCTTATAAGCCCTAAAACATCTTATAACCTCCTTTTAACATCTTATAAGCTTAGCCAAACACCATCTAAGTGTTGGATACTTGGATGGGTGATTTGCAGGACAAAAATTAGGATATCTCTTTTTTGATTAAGAGGGTGTTTGGCTAAATTTATTTTAAATAGCTCATAAGCTCTTACGTCTGATAAGAAGTTTTAAGAGCTGATAAGCTCTTACATTTTATTTTTAGAATTAATTTTTAGAGTGTTTGGGTAGTTAGCTTATTTCCTATTTTTACTCAATATGAAATTTTAAATAAAAAGGTGGGGTAGAAGTACTTTGTTAAAAAGATCTTATTTGCTCTCCAACAGCTTATTTAAAAAAAAAAAGATCTTTTTTTAAAAAATTTACCAAACACTTTCGAAGAGCTTTTAAGCTCTAAAACATCTTATAAGCTTAGCCAAACACTCTCTTAAAAAAAACATCTTATATGTTCCCTAAAGCTTATTTTTGGAAAAAATAAGATCTTTTAACAGTGTATAAGTTCTTAAACATCTTCTAAGATGTTTGTAGGAGCTTATAAGCTTAGCCAAACAGGCTCTAAGTGATCTTGTCATGTATGTCTTTTACAATTTCGCTTTCAAACTATTAGTTACTTGTTTACACTTAACTTCCACTATATTGTTGAGCTTTCTTAGAGCATCTCTCACCGGTTTCACCACTTTTTCACAAAATTCCATTTTTTGTGGTGAAAAAATGAGTTCATCTTCCACCGGTAGCACATAATTTTACCATTCCACCATTTTTTTTTGTAGAAAATGGTGTTTTTGGTCTCCTCTCATGCATTTCACCAAATTTGAAACTAAATATAAAATAATAATATTTCACATTTCACCACTTATAGGAAATGAGATTTGGTTTGGTCTCCTATGGCACGTCACCATGTATGTCCCAAAACTATAAATTTAATATTTATCATAATTTTACTATATTTTATTTCCAAAATATTTATTATAGGTTCAATTGTAACTAATAATATTTTGAATTATATAATTTAAAAGTTATATTATAAATTTAGAAAACATGTCCAAACATGAAAATTGAAGCTTGTTTCGTTAATTATTGCATTGTTGCTTATTATATTTTATTAATAGCAATTAGCCGATTAGTTAAAATAAAAACAATCAATCAACATGTATACCAAAAAGATATACAATAATTAAACATAAGCATGCTTATATTTATTGGAATTAATGTTTTTATTAATAATAAAAAAATGCATTTATATTCTAAAAACTAATTTATTAATTAAAACTATTATTTTACAATAAATACGTTAATAAGTGGACAATCACGTGCAATTAGTTAAAAACTGTTATTTTTTTATGCTAATTAATAAAATAGTTTTAATTACACCAAATCCTATTTTCACCTTTATATTTGGAAATAAACATAGGAGTTGGTGGAAAAAATAGCAAAATAGTGGAAGGGTGGGATATGAAAATTCCTTCACCAAAACATTCGGTGGCCGGATAAATTATTTCTTTTGTCCCTAAACTTTACCACTAAATTGATTTCCATATTCAAACTTTTTCATCAACCAATATGTCTTCCAACTTGACTATTTAATAATTTATGTTTGCCCGTAAACTTCTTCAGTCAACTTGGATGGAAATACCACGTGTGGCACACATGATGTCGGTCTGGTCGTTAAAAGTTGACGTGGGTTATACCCTAAGTCGACCTGGCCGAAAAACATGACGTGAAGTAACAGGCCATTCTCTTCCTCTATTTCAATTTTAAAATCCCTAATTTTTCATTACCCCTAATTTATTGAACCCCAACGCATAAACCCTACCCCCAAATTCCCAGTATGAAGCCTCAAATTGAGGTGAAATTCCGCAACAAAAATTCGTAAATTTGTGGAACTGGAACATCACAATCGAGCATCACTTTTTGATTTTTGTAAATTTCTTCAAAGTTGATATCTTAGAACTTCAGTTTTGTGAATTTGAGAGGTGCTAATTTTGATTTCATATCAAATTGTATATTATGTTGTAGTATAGAATATGAGTAGAAGATCAAAGTTTTGACAATTTCTCTCCTGAGAGCGCCCAAAGCACGACTCCGTGCGCGGCACCTTCGATCGAACAACTCTAGCAATGTGAGAATTTGGATTTTTATTGGTTTAGGACTTCGAATTTAGTATGTTCCGAAGAGGAATGGAGATTTGATTGAAAATTTGGGAGATGATTTACGCGATTGAAAGATTTTTGAAATTGGATGGCGAGAGTTTATGGGATGAAGAGTGAAGTGAGAAATGAGAATTGGGAATTGGGGATTTGAGTGAGTTAGAAATTTGGGAATTGAGTTTAGATCAACTTATTTGTGTGCCAGATCGGTATTTGACTACCACAACTCGTCATATTTTTCGGCCAGATCGACTTAGGGTGTATGTCATATCGACTTTTAATAGCCATATCGACATCACGTGCGCCACGCGTGATATTTTCGTCCAAGTTGGCTGACGTAGTTGACGGCCGAACATAAATTATTACAAAGTGGCAA